GAAGGAAGGAAGGAAGGAAGGAAGGAAGGAAGGAAGGAAGGAAGGAAGGACACCTAAAACAAAGAACATCTGACCAATCCTGAAGGGAAAAGAGAAGTGACAGAGACTACTGAAATGGATTGCCCCACAACTCACACCCCAGCTAGGTGAATAAACGGAAGTGGGCATGGTAGCAAAGCATCAGGATCCCAGAAATGATAGCGGGAGCTCTTGATACCTTTACATTTCACTTCTAAGTCAGACAATTAATGACAGATCTCTTCCCCTCCCACCCATTCATGTTTGCTTTTAGACCTGTCCTTTCAGTTTCTCACAGCTTGTAGAGAACACAAGAAAAATATCCCACAAAAACAGGCTTCCGACAGATAACACAAGAACGAGATGCAACACAAAGAGCAGCTGTGGCTATCTGGAGCTACAAGGATGCCCAGAAGAGCTACGTCCCCCCAAGGTTGAGACTCGCTGCTGGGGGAGGGAGAGTGAATGGAGGGTGCAGAGCGAGAGGTGAGGGAAAGAATGACCTTCCCCCTAGCTAGTAGGAACCAAGAATATTGGTAATTTTTTGGGAGGGGGAAGTGTGAACAAATGGATCCATTTTCCACTCAGAAACATCCCTGGGAATAATGTTATATAATCACGTAGCGCTATTCCTAAGGGCACCATAACCTTATTTGCAAAATGCTTTGCAGTGAGCAAAGCCAGAGCCTTGGTTCCGTGTGGCAGATTAACTACAATGCAATCTTCAGTGTTCGCGGTCTCTTGCACCTTATTTTCACCTCCTTGACACAAACCTACCGCGGACACACCATACGTCGCATTACTCTTCCATTCCTCACAGTCGCGTAAGATTCTCGAGGCTCTGATGGAATGGAATCCCATTATTGGGAATTTAAAAAAAAACCACAAAGTAAGAGAGAGCCCGTTTGGTGTAGAGGTTTAAGGCATCAGGCTACAAACTGGGAGACCAGGAGCTCCAGTCCTGCCTTAGGCACAAAGCCCACTGGGTGATCTTGGGCCAGTCACACTCTCTCAACCTTAGTTTGTGTGTGTGTTGACAAAACAGAATAATAGAATAGCAGAGTTGGCAGGGACCAGTGGTGGGATTCAAATAATTTAACAACCGGTTCTCTCCCTAATGATTTCTTCCAACAACCAGTTCACCAAACTGCTCAGAAAATTAACAACCGGTTCTCCCAAACTGGTGCAAACTGGCTGAATCCCACCACTGGCAGGGACCCTGGAGGTCTTCTAGTCCCTCCTCAAGCAGGAGATCCTATACCATTCCACACAAGTGGTTTCCCAATCTCTTCTTTAAAACCTCCAGTGATGGAGCACCCACAACTTCTTGTGGCAAGCCGTTCCACGGGTTAATTGTTCTCACCACCAGGGAAGTCCTCCTTAGTTCAAGGTTGACAATGTTTTCCACTGTCTAGCTTGACAGTGTTGTTGTCTAGGGAAAACAGCACGAAGTAGGCCAAACCCATCGTTTGGTGAAAGGCGCTGCTTCTGCCATTGTTCTTATTTTTATTTTGAGCTATGCCGCTGCCCAAGTGGGAGGCCGCTTGTGCATCATTTTTGCTGATCTCTGTCCTGTGTTAAATTACCCCACCCCACCAGATCTGCGATCGGTAGCTCTGATGGCTAAACCCATCACTCTGGTTCTTGTTAACCAGAACATGAAATATTGGCAATCTGCCAGTTGAGTGCTAAGCGAAAACAGCAGCTGCTCCTTATTTGCAAATTTAACCAAAGAGCTGTTAGCTGTGATTAACAGAGGAACGAAGAGGTGATGCGTGCATTCACACCAACCGCTCAGAGTGGCTTCATGTCTAATGTTTGTACGCCCTATATCTATAGCATTTTGATTTTACCGAGTCTGTAGAATAAACCTTTAAGCTGCCAGAAAGCCATGATTTGAAGCAACGGAACAAAAACCCACAGTCCAGGTCGAACATTTTTACGGCCTTCTTGAAGGGTGGCTCAGTGGCTAAGATGCTGAGCTTGTCGATCAGAAAGGTCGGCAGTTCGGCGGTTCGAATCCCTTGCGCCGCGTAATGGAGTGAGCTCCCGTTACTTTGTCCCAGCTTCTGCCAACCTAACAGTTCGGAAGCATGTGAAAATGCAAGTAGAAAAATAGGAACCACTTTGTTGGGAAGGTAACAGTGTTCTATGTGCCTTCCGCGTTTAGTCATGCCAGCCACATGACCACGGAGACATATTTGGACAGCTCTGGCTCTTCGGCTTTGTAACGGAGATGAGCACTGCCCCCTAGAGCTGGAAATGACTAGCATGTATTGCGAGGGAAACCTTTACCTTAAATGAGTGAAGCCAACATTATTGGCTCTTTGGGACATGTTGGGGGTTGGGAGGTTTTAAGGAGCAACATAAATTATACATTTATACTTAATGTGTCCACTTCCTGCCTTACAATTTGTAGCCCCTCATCTCACCCCCGCCCAAAATACCAAAAATGGCATGGTGTTTTGTTCACTTTTTCTCTCCTAAAGACCTAAAGATAATCTAAAGATGCGTGATGTGCACAACCCTAATTTGCACATGGGGGTGTGGTAGGCATATATTAACCTGACTTTTTTTGTATCTGCATGGTTGAGGAAGTAGTTGGCTTTTAACCAACTACACTACAATCAGCACTCACAACCAAATACATGTTGGGGAGTTATATTCCTGTATTTTCTCATCTTGGGAGAATGTGAATTGTATGTCCTTTTAGGCAGAGTATGGAAGTACTACAAAGAGTTAAAGACATGCCAAACAAAACTCAAACACAAGAAAAGCATAATACAAATATAAGAGGTTCCCACAGATGTGGAAATTTATCCCAGAGAGGCAAGACATTTTGATTTGCAAATCCACTTCTGAATTATAAGACCCTCTTTGCACTGTTCGTTCTTTTCCTTTTCTTTTTCGCATCCCCCTAGGAGTCCATTATATCTTTTCTATGTCAATGAAACCATCTAAGAAGAAATACATATACCCACACACAAAGAGAGAGAGAGAGAGAGAGAGAGAGAGAGAGAAGTAGAGGGGGTAAAAGAGAAAGGAACCAGAAAGTACTAGGGAGTTAGCATGGAAATATTTCCCTTTTTATTTTTCCCAAGAGGGCCAAAGAAAGAGACAGAAAAATCTAGGTAGCTGATTGACAATAATGACCCAAAGTTTTCCTAGCCTTATCAAGGCCAACTGGGGGTTAGAATCAAGATCACGTGATGTACTAATACCACTTTATGAGGCCTTGGTAAGACCACATTTGGAATACGGCGTCTAATTTTGGTCACTACAATATAAAAAAAGATGTTGAGACTCTAGAAAGAGTGCAGAGAAGAGGGACAAAGATGATTAGGGAACTGGAGGCTAAAACATATAAAGAACGGTTGCTGGAATTGGGTATGACTAGTTTAATGAAAAGAAGGACAAGGGGTGACATGAGAACAGTCTTCCAATACTTGAGGGGCAGCTGCCACATCATCCAGCTTGCCCACCTCACAAAATTATTACAAAGGTGGAACAGACACAGGCTTCAGAGGATAATTAGAACTGCAGAAAAAACAATTACTACCAACCTGCCTTCCACTGAGGACCTGTATACTGCACGAGTCAAAAAGAGGGCTGTGAAATATCTACAGACCCCTCAAATCCCGGACATAAACTGTTTCAACTCCTTCCTTCAAAACGATGCTATAAAGCACTGCATACCAGAACAACTAGACACAAGGACAGTTTTTTCCACGAATACCATCACTCTGCTAAACAAATAATTCCCACAACACTGTCAAACTATTTACTTAGTCTGCATTATTATTACTATTCATCTTCTCATCATTCCTATCACCCATCTCTTCCCACTTGTGACTGTAACTTTGTTGCTTGTATCCTTACAATTTATATTGATTGTTTCCTGGTATGATTTGATTGTTTATTATCAATTCAGTGTTGAACTTTATGATTCTTGACAAATGTATCTTTTCTTTTATGTACACTGAGAGCATTTGCACCAAAGGCAAATGCCTTGTGTGTCCAATCACACTTGGCCAGTAAAGAATTCTATTTATCTATTTAGTTTTATTTTTTCAACACTTCTGACCTTTGCAGCATCTCCATGGTCACATGACCAGAATTCAGATTCTTGGCAACTGACTCCTATTTAGGACAGTTGCAGTGTCCTGGGG